AGGACGAAATGCCTGACTTAGCCTGAAAGGGTTTGAGGTGAACCATTTATCCTTGGGCACATTTTTTTCAACAGCAATTGGGACCTGAGAAGTCCATGTAGGTCCCAAGGAGTGCATTCCTCCCTCCTCGAAGAAGAGTTCAGTGTGCAGGCCTGCCCGAGGGCGATGAAGGCCATTGAGAAGACGACACATGATGGAAATTCCCTCGCCAGTCTCGTAGGGAAATTGGGTTCATGCAGCTTGAAGTCCCATTGAGTAAAGTTGAAGGAGACTGAGAAAGAAAAAGAGGATTTTTTTGGAAATTATGAAGGTTCTGAAATTTCTAGGAATTTCTGGAATTTAAAGGCTTGGAATGGCTATGGTATTCTGCTGAGGGGTTTAAGAAAGGATTATATAGTAAGTGGCCAATTAACGGTGGAGTTCGTGGGTTAGTGCAAAGGTTTTAGATAACCAACGGTTGCTTTAAATGGCTCAAGTTCCGAGCAAAAGTGTGAGACGGCTATTCAATCATTGTTTATGCCTTGGTTTGCAGGCTCAATAACGATTGAAGGGGGCACTGTTTGGGTTAATATTTGAACCTTGGGCTGCAAGTATGTGGAAGCCCAAAGATGCCGATTAAAAGAAGACTTGCCCGAAGCCCATCATCAAGCCTAGAGACAAGTTGGCGCCTTCCCAATAATGCATAGGCCATGTGCCTATGATTTAAAATGTCAAGTGATGGGGACTGACTCATAATCAGCCAAAAAGCACTTTTCAGTGGCAACATAAATAAAAAGCTGATGACTCACTACCCTCCAAGTGCTTTCAGGCAAGAGCAAAGTCACTGCAGTCGAGCTAATCTGCCTATAAAAGGAGGAAGAGGCCCTAGAGACAAAGACACCCAACCATTCAAGCAAACAAACATACAAACTCTGTTATCAAGCCAGATTTGCATCTAAAAGATGTAATCAGCCCAGATCTCAATCATTTTCAAGATCATTCCCTACAAAAGCCATCTTTTGTCTAGTTTAGAAGCTCTGCTATCACCCCTAGTGGCATAATATCGATTCCCTTGCGTAAACTTGTTTACCATCTATCCCTTTTTAGTAAATAAACCCTGTAAATTCAAAAGAGAAGTGATTGAAGTTCAACCTTGCCTAACAAGGTGAAATCTTGCTCAAAGCTCTTTGTTTGTTTTATAATTTAATAGATCTACTACTTAATGTCCTCTCCAGCATGTATTCAAGTCATTTCCATCAGTTTTCCCATTATAAAAGTTCCATTTGCATATGGATCTGGTTAGTTTAATGGACATGCTATCATTAAAATCAATCAAGAACCAAGTAAATGACTTAAAGGGATCTGAACTCTCTTCATTTGAACATACAAGACTATAAATTGAAAGTCCTTGTTCGCAAGGCAAAAAAAAAAAAGAACTTAACGTGGACTTAACCCATCCACGACAATCCTTTAATATCAAGAAGTCCGAGTAACTTGGGGCACAAGTAATCGACTAAACACAATCTTGTTCTACATCTGCTATATTGAGATAGCAGTGGCACGCTTAACACTTGGTTAGTTTTGATTGCGAGCCTCAAGGCCTACACCTAAGGCCCCACAAATGCACCTTTCAAAACTAACTATATCCTCTTCTTGCAGCACATCAGCAAGCAAGATCATGAGTACAAGTGCCAATCCCTTGGGGAGCTGTTCTGAGAGTCGATGAGCCCTCTCCAGAGAAATCTTCGCCTGAACAGAGCCTTTCCAGTTTTCACATATCTCCCTTTACCAAAACAAAAAGAAAAAGTTTTACATTTCACCCATACTATTTATAGCGTGTCATGTAAATTATAGATATGGACCTCCTCCATACCAAAAGGATTTGTATGACATAAATACATAACTACAATGACATTTTGTGCTAATGATGTAATGATTTAAGAGAGAAATTAACACATGTCTCTATACTATTGCAGAGAATGTCACTATACCAGTGTACCTGTATCATACAATTATACTATGAGATACTCCGAAGCAACATAAAATTTTTGTGCATTAAAAAAATTAGTAAATAGGACCCCCTTTTTCCATAATAATTAGTTATTCATATCATTTTAAATTTGAAAAAAAAAAAAGCCAAAACATTTGGTAAGCTGTGCAGGAAATGATAAAGTAATGTTAGTCAAAGATAATGCTAGGGAGATCAAATTTTTTAAATCAAATTGCAAATTAAATGATGTGTAACCAACAAGAAACAAGTATGTTAATCGACACTTAATTAGTAATCCAATTACCTACAACCATATCATTTGATTTGCAAATTTAATTTAAAAATTTATCTCCCTAGCATTCCCCATTAGTTAAAGGTGGTGTTTCTTATTTCCTTCGCCCCTCCTTAAAAAAAGCTGGTACTCATGAGTCATATTTAATTGTAGGATCTAGGAGCTAGCTTTGTTTTATTTTGTTTTTAGGCTTATTTTTAGCTACACCTCCCATAATTCTATTTTGATCTCACTTTGCCTCATGTACTCAAAACTTACAATTTTACTCCCTAAAACTCAAAATTTGTTTCACTTTGACATGTGAACTCTCTTCTCCCTAAAACTTATAGGTCGCCTTTTAAAACACATGTAGGACCCAGCATCCAATAAAACTATGCCACATGTGCAATAAATTTGATTATAAATCTTCATTATGTATTAACATTAAACAATTAAGGAGTATTAAGTTCAAAAGAAATTGAAGAGATAAAACAAATAAAAAAGAAATTGATTAGAATAGTGCACCCAAAATCAAATTGATGAATCCATATTATACAATATATTTTACTACCCTATTCTTAGTATTAATCACTGTTCTAAAAATCTCCGCCTAGCGCTGCCTAGACCCTGCCTAGGCAGCTAGGCGGTTGGTCACTACCCTAATTAATGCCTAGGCGTTTGAAAATTAAGAAATGGTACATAGACCTGCTAAGGCACCCGTCTAGACCGCATAGGCACCCGCCTAAACCGCCCAGACCCGCCTAGGTTGCGACTCATTTAGACAGAAAATAGATAACTTTCATTTTGCATTTTATTTTTTTTCAATACATTATAAGAGACTTGTTGAATACTTAAATGAATACACATTATATGCATGTTCCCCCTGTTTTCATTATGTTCTAATACTTCCTAATATATATGTCATTCTATTTTGTAGTTTATAATGAAATTATATATATATATTAAGTATACACATACACTTTTTTACACGAAATATAATAGGTTTACTTAAATCTGCCTAATCCACCTAGGCGTTAGGCCCCAGCTTGCCGCCTGACTAGCGCCTAGCATCTTTTGGAACCATGGTATTAATTTAGTGGTTATTTTGTGAGAATTTTAATACTATGAATTGTATTTTCAATATAGGATTTTTGATTTCCTCTGGGCCAAAATATGGCCAAACAGACGAATTTTATAGTGATTCTAATTGGAAGATGTTCATGGGTCTCTCAGCTTGTTTGTATCAAAGTTTCTAATTTTTCTACCATGTAGTTTATTTATGGCAATGAAATAAAGGAGTAGTGCGCAGTATTGTCAAAGTGATGTTTTGGGCTTATTTGGGCTTTTTGGACTCCAAGATGATGTCTTCTGGGTTTAAGGCCTTCTAGAATTATGTTCGGCACATCTCAAGCTTTAATTCAAATCGTTTTGAGCCTGTTTTGGAGCTCTAAAGATCCAGAAACGTGGGATTCTTTACGAATTGGCAGATTTCCCAAAGTTTGAATATGAATGTATTTCCTAGTTAATTATCTTATTCTATTATGTTTCCTAGTTTTAGAACACCTTTTCTAGTAAGGATTTTATTTTGTAGTAGTATAAATAAGGCTATTTAGCCATTAGGGTTTTTGGAATGCATTAATTTAGAAAGGCACTACTTTGGAGAATTCTTCTTAGAGGGCTTTTGACGATTCAAGTTTATTTTCAAGGTGTTTTCTATCCATGTTCTCAATAATATTTTATTTTATGATTGTTAGTAACTAATTTCTGTTTGCTAGGGCAAGGCCACGAGCCTTAGCAAGAATATGTAGTCTCTTTTCAATTTGTTTATGATATTATGCATGTAGGTTTTGAATTATTAATCACCCTGTTTGAAACTATCTAATTGTCTTGATGATTGGCCACCATTAGGATATTTAGAAAAGTAATTCGATGTAATTTTGGTGGATGGTTGTCCCTGAAATTGACTAAGGTTTTTTGTAGTTAATATGTGTAAACTCTTAGGATGAATGACACGATTGCATGGTTTATCAAAAGGTTTTCACAAAATTTAATGAGTCTTGCATATTCACATTCGATCTGGACATCACAGACGGGTTGCATGTTTGATATACGTTCTATGTTAAAGGTTGCATGTTTGATATACGTTCTATGTTGAAGGTTCCAAGTTGGATATACTTTAGGAAAACCTAACCTTTAAAATATGCATGTGTAAGTCATAAGTAATTAGAAGAATTACGTATGATTGTTAAGGTGATAGCAGAACCCTAGTACTTAAATAGATTTTCAAAATTATTTTCTTTTGTTTTCTTTACTTTCCCAATTTATTTAAATGTTTTTAATTAAATTCATTTTTAATATTTTATATCATAAAATCAATATTTTCCAAACTTTAGATTCAAATAATTAAGTAAGATTTGGTTTTATATAAATTATTCATTCAATCCTTGTGAAAACGACCTTACTAGAGCTGACTATACTACAATTATCTTATACTCTTGCAAGTATTTTTAACTATTTTTATCCTTACTTTTGCAGGTGGTAAAAATCCTATCGTAAACCCACTAAGAAATTAACAGATCTAAGGCAATGTAAACGAATTTTGAGTTTTATAGAAACGGCTTTCAAGTTTAAGGGGGCAAAATAGGATCAAAATCAAGTTTCAGGGGACAAAATGGAGCGAACTATGAGCTTCAAGAAGTAAAATGACGAATTTTGAGTTACAATAAGCAAAATGAGGTTAAAATCGAGTTCTAGAATACGTAACTAAAAATAAGCTTTTATTACATTACAAATCTAAAGGTTACTCTTAAATTCGAACAGTTATAGGACTAAAAGTCAAATGTACCAAAACCAATAGAAATAAATAAATAAAACCAATCGAAATAATAAAATAAATGATGAACACAATATTTACGGTTAGGGTTGACTAAATTATAAGGATCCAGCTAATTCATCTCTTATTTGAAAACCTCATATCTGACATGTGTATCACTGGCTTTTCTTTTCTGTAGCTACTTGTACATTTGATTCATCGCTAACATCTTTGGTCGCATTTCCTACATTATCCATAGCTGACTCAAAAAAGTCTTCCACCTGATCTTCTAGTGCTTCCGCCTGCGCGTTGTTCAGGAAAAAAAACTAGTTAATTATTAGCCACTACCAAGGAAGAAAATATCGGTAATATCGGAAATATCGGTAGTCCGAAAACACGGAAATATCGATGGAAATATCGGGATAATATCGATATCGATAAAAATTACATGGAAACCACGGAAATTGTAAGAAAAACTTGGAAATTTTTATTGAAACTTTGCAGGATGTTTATTTAGTCAATTATCTATTAGTTTATCACAAAAAATTGGAAGAAAATGCATTGCATGATGGATTTAACATTATCAAGTTGATTATATAGCGAGCTGACAAACATTGTGAGTGTAGAAAATATGTAGAAAATAATGAAAGAAGTCTAAACACACCATAATCATTTATATATAATGAATTAGTACAATATTTTACACTTTATACATTGCATGGTAAGATACATGAGTGACTTAGTACCACATAGAGTTCCTATGAGGTTCAAAATTTTCACTATCTTCATCATCTCTATGTGTAGAGTGAGTGTATTTTGAAGAGTAGTTAGCAACCATGGCAATTGTTTTCAAGAACCAAAACCCAAAAGTCAATAAGAAACCGAATACTTCGGTATTTTTCGGGATTACCAAACAAATGGGATTTGGAAACCAATCCCATATCGAAAATTTTGGTATTTTTCGGGATGGGATTCTCGAACTTCAGGATGGTTTTGGTTTGGGATTTTTCGGAATTTTTTCCAGCCCTACCATGTAAGTGACCAAATAAAAAATAGAAAAATAAAAAACCACATGCCATTGACTAAGTAATTAATTGACACAATTTAAAATATAATACCACAAAAAATTTGGAAAATGTGCAAATTTGTTTCTTGTAAAAAGAATTCAAAACAAAAGCATATATATAAATATTGTAGCATATTATCACAACAACATAAGTGGTATGGTGGTTAAGGCGCTAAGGAGTTAACGTGGGAGGGGTTCGAACCCCTCTGTGTTCAAAATTGTGACTTTTCAAAATTTTCAGGAATTTTTGAACAAAATATCGCGATATTAGGCGATATTATCGTTAATATCGCGATATTATCGATAATATCGCGATATTATGACGAAAACTCATTGGATACTCATTAAAATATCGTTAACCCAAAAAAACGAAAATATCGGCGAAATATCGCCGATATTTTGGATATTTTCTTCGCCACTACTAAGTATAAATTAGTGTGCTGTATAGAAATTGACGTCAATTAATTAATTTTTATTATGCAAATTAAACTAATTACCTTCTCAATTAGCTGGTCTGCAAGGTGTGCATCTTTGGCTACTTCTCTGGCTATACTTTCAACTACTTCAGAAGCAGCCCTAAACTTTCCATCAGCTGGAAGATGATCACCTATTTCATCTGCCACTTCCTCCACTTTTTCTGCCACCTTTTCTACCACCTCCACGACTGCTTCAACATTGTTTACAACCATGTCCACCTCCTCTGCACAGTCAAATTCAATCCATCTTTTTTTATCAGAAAATATGGTATAATCAAGGGATTCTTAAAAGTACTTAGTCTCTTACAAGGAATATTTTATTCGATTTTATCTATATTAAAAGAAATTAACGAAAACTAAAGTGTCGTCCATAAAATTTGAAATCTGGACCTGCACTTACAATACTTACTCTTCAATTGTAGCAAAGGCCCCCATTTGTGCCTCCAAAAAGGTATAATTACTGAGAATACCATCCCTATCATCCAGCCTCTCCTGTTCAAATTATCAAATGACATGTTTATCATATAAATATATTAGTTGCAAAAAAAGAAACAGATCATAAAAGGAATCAATGAGAAATAAAAGGTCTGGTTGCTAATTACCAGGAGTTTGAATACTCTACAGAAGGACTTTGATCTCCAGGTGATGTAGAGCTACTGCGTACAATCTTCTTCCGACATGGTTGGCTGCTAATTAGAGACAATAATGCAGGGTTGCTTCTGAAACCTTGTTGGCATTTCCATGTTGATGATGATGAAAATGGTTGAACTACTACTCCAGGATGCTTCACAAAAACGCAACCGCTTGCCGACCGACTTAGATCAATTGATGTTGTGATTATTGACATTCGTTCTTCTCCTGATCACTCGTCCTCCGATTAACAGTCCAAAAATGATTTATATCACTCAGATTTGTTGTATGATGGAACTTTTTGTTAATGAGAGGCTTATATAGTTAATATTTGTTCGATGTGAAAAAGTAGTCGAGGAAAGTGCAAAGAAATAATCCAAGACCAGTACGAAACAGATGACTTTGTCGACGTACAAAGCCCCATGGTCAACTACGAGTTTCTCTCGTCTTTTTATTTTAAACCAACGTGTTAAATCTTGTATTCATTTATTTAACAAAACATAATTGGTCAGCTTTTGTACAGAATTCCTCTTATGTCCCTGTTTAACTAGTTAATATATTCTAGAAGTCATAGGTTTGAGGGACCTTATAAGGACTTCATAGGAAAATAAACTCATTACAAATAATGCTTTGCCTTGATCCGCAATATCCGATTCCAATTCCAGCTAGACGCTGAGATGGATTGATAGGTTTTGGAAGGCTGTCAAGCAATTTGATATTGCGCAAAGACAAAATATTTGGTTAAATAACGTCACTACCTTGTAAAATGGAAAACACGTTTATAGCGCTCATATGTAAAATTATAATTGTTAGCATTTGTAAGAAAAGCTCTGAATTTTTGTTAAACTATAATTATTTTAAAAAACTCATTTTAAATTTTCATCTCCAACAACACTTTTTATTTTAATAAATTTTGAACATTTCATTATTATTCAAACCTAACCCACTCATTTTTTAAAACAATCTTCTCTCTTCACATTTTTCTTGCTTAAGGGTTCACCGTTAAGTTTTTTTTTTTTTTAATATCTAGCTGATGAATGGTTGCTTGTAGAGTTAAAAGTGACCGTCACTTTTACTGTTATAGAGACTTTTTATAGAGTTTGTCGAATATGTATTTTTTTTAAATACAATTTTAGTTGTTTTATAACACCTTTTAGAATATAAAATAAGAACGTGCAATTATTGGAATATAATAAGACCACTTGCATTAGGTCTTTATAATTAATAGTAAAATTACAAATACGAGAAAACAAGTATAATGCTAAAAACATTTCATGCTCAATTGGTGCACAAATTATTTAGAGAGAGAAAACGACCATTCTTCAAACCCACTATGGAAACATCCAGTTGTTCAGAATGTAGTCGGTCATTAATTTCTAATCGCTATGTCCGCTAAATATGATCAATATGTTGTTTATATTTAACTCTGATCTGTTGTTATTTAAATTTAAATTCTAATCATTTAAGAAACGCTCTTTAATTAACTCAAAATTCAAATACGTAAAATGTTGGTGTTCATTTGCGAGAAGAAAAAACGGTTTGAACCTAGATTCATTCGTCCTCATGAACTCATCCTTGAAGTGTTTGATGAGTCGATATTATTCTATATTTTTACTCTATGTTTATTATTACTTTATTATTTATTTTGTGAAAATTTTGATACTTTAAATTTTATTTTCTAGGTAGAACTTTGAAATCTACTTTGGGCATAAAACGATCAAATAGACGAATTTTGGAGTAATTTTGGAGTAATTCCAATTGGAGCGGAATAATTTTGGAGTAATTCCAATTGGAGCAGATTTGTGAGTCTTTCAAGATGATTGTGTCAAAATTTCAAATTTTTATTCTAAGGCATCTGACCTTTTTGAGTATTTTGAAGATCAAGATGATATATTTTGAGGAATCTTCCTACCTTCTGAGAATTTGAAAAGAAAACATTTTGAGTTAGAGAAGGGTTACTTGCTAATCAACTTTTACTACCTACTACATACAATCCACCACATGTCACCTACATTTTCTCACTCTCTCTCTCTCCTTTTTATCTTTTTTGATGTGTACTTTACCCTATGCAATTCACCTAATGAGAAGAATTAGGATCCTTTCCGGATCTTCTTTGTGATGATTTTGAGAATCCTTTAATCGTGTTCATTCATCGTACATCGTGAAATCAGTTTTTTTTTTTTTTCCAGATATTATTTTTGTTCAATTTTAAATAAAATAATTTAAAATAATTTATGACCGCACCATATACGATGAACGGACATGATTAGAGGATCCTTATTAATGAGAATTCAAGGTTCCTGCTTTGTCAGTGGCAATACTATCACTGAAATTCTATCAAATTATCCCTTGTTTTTGTTCGTCCCAAAATCAGTTTCGACCGCATCGCCCTTGGTGCTTCCCATTTTGTTGCAGGCGTATCAACTCACAACCTAAGGCCAAAGTTAGTAAAGAGAAGTTGGTGATTTTGGTTGCTCTTGATTTGACTTCTTTTAGTGCGATTTATGATCACGGAAGGAACGCGTCTCGGTTAAAGGTTCTTCGTGCCTTGGGTGCAAGGACTTTAGAATATGCGTTATTCGTGACAGTGAAGTGAAAAGATTTTAATGGTTGATGTGGTGAGGTGGGATGTAGGGAAGGCGAATCGCATCAACCCTCCCGAACTAGTCAAAGGAATCTAATTGATAAATAATTACGTTAGATTACTCCTATTGCAAGAAAATAGAATGCAAGAAAATAAAATTTCAACAAAATAAATTGTGAGAAATTAAATGTGTACGATCCAATCGATTAGGAAAGAGAGAGAGGCGGGGGTGAGCAGGGGAGTTGGTGAATGAGCATGTGTTAGAGTAGAATCCTCATCTCCGGCCGGAAAGGATGGATTCTAGTCTAGTTGCTGAGGCTGGAAACGTTGGCCGCCCCCACAACTACTTTTGGTGAAGTTCCGATTGCTTCCACTACCACACCTCAAGCCCTTGCCGCTGCCTCTTTCACCTGGCATAACCGTCTTGATCATCATAGTTTCAAATCATGTCTCGTCTTCATCATAGTCTAGGTCCTTCAGTTAAGCTAGAAAATTCTTTTTGTACGGGCTGCCCACTTAGTAAGTTTCATCATCAGCTTCCTTTTTATGTAAATGATAATAATAGTGCTTCCTCTTCAATTTATATTGTAGATTCTGATGTATAGATGTCTATCGCATTTTTTGTTAGGTGTTAATTATGTTATCTTTGTTGATGATTTCTCACATTTTATTTGGACTTATCCTATGAAGTGGAAATCCGAAGTGCTAATAACTCACTACCAAAATTTTGTGGTCATTACTCGTAAATGATTTCAAGCTACTATTCAACACTACAAAGTGACAATAAAATTGAAATATGTCAACAATGCATTCTCTACATCCGGTAATGAATTGGGAATCCTAATAACACTTCTCTTATCAATGTGGATAATGAAGAAATTTGATGTTTCACTATAAAATTAATTGACAAAATAGAAGGCCCAGCTTCTTATAAACCCTTGCAATAATTGGTTTTAGTTGACTAGTAACATAAATGAAATGCGGCTCCAGATTTGCTGTCCCCAAATGTGTGTCTCATTTGTGTCTTTTTGCTGATATGTTGACACATTTCATTTAACTTAACTTAAAACTCAACACTGTTAACTTTATTTATTTAATATTTAAATTTAAAAAAAAATCCAAAATAATAAAAAATTGTTGGGTTAACGAGGTGAGCAAACCCAAACATGATTCTTCACCTTCTTTTACGCGACTGTTCAATGCACAAACATCTCTGTTCAAGCTTTCTAGTAGAACTTGATGATGGCGCGTGGGTTCTTGCCGGTAGGCGGAGGAATCACCAGACAGGAATCGGTCCAAGTGTATGTTAATCTGCCAGTGCTGCTGGAAAGTGAGATTAATAAACAAGATTCTGCGTCCCAACTGAAAGGTGATCAAAGAACTTCATGCTATGAATCAGGTATGTGTGTGTGTCTGTGTGTGGTGTGTGTGTGTGTGTATATATATATATATTCTTGTTGAAATATTCATATATAAATTTGACTCTTATATATTGTATTTTTCATTTTTCCTTAAGGACATGGACGAAATTGTGAAAATTGCTTGGGTTCCACAGAAATTGGGCGATGCAGTGGCGTGTGTCTGTGCAGATGGAACTTTATCATTGTGGGAGGAAGTTGCTGAAGATGCACAACCTCTTCAATGGAAGCTGTGCACAAGCTTTAATAGCGGTTCGGCTCAATTGCTAGATACCCAATATAGAGTCTCACCAGTAGGTTTAAAAATGGTTACTGCATATTCAGATGCTCGTGTCAAGCTCTATGAGCTAATGAATCCATTGGAACTGAAGAATTGGCAGCTTCAGGCTGAATTTCAGAGTGTTATTGACTCGGTGTCTACAGTTGGCCATGCCATATGCATTATATACCTTGGAATCCACAAAGGAAAGAAAAGCCAGGAATCAATTTTTGTTTTGGGTTTCAATTTAAAAACACCACAACTTAATTCCACCGAGGTATGGGAATTTGATCAGGCTCATCAAAGATGGCTCCCAGTTGCAGAGTTGGCTTCGCCTGGTGACAATGGTGATTAGGTCTACGCAGTTGCGTGGGCACCGAACATTGGAAGGTCATATGAGGTAATTGTTGTTACCACTCATAAGGGAATATCAATATGGCATCTTGGGATAACCCCTGACTTGGATGGAAGGCTATCATTGGAGAAGATTGCACTATATTTTAGTTTGAAGCATTTTCGCTTCAGATTATTCAAACTGTAGTGCTCTATATTTTAGTTTGAAGCAAGTGAGATTATAACAATATGAAATCATCATTCATAGTTGAAGTGACTGAATTACACAAAACCAAAACTATAGTGTTATATATGTCCTTTAAATGCAAGAACTAATTTGTGACTAAATGAAAGCTCTTGCAGGTGCTTGGGGTCAAACGAATTTCACTCTAAAAACAAAGTAAAATTCATTCTTTTCAATCAAACTATGTTATGAGTCATTAGCAAATCAGAAGAACTTATAGTCACTACTTTCCAAACATCAAACTAAATAAGATGGTTCTTTAATAAAAAGTATTAACTGAAGCTTTAGTCCCAAAAAACAGAGTAAATTCCCTGAGCGCTCTTCTCATAGCATCTTGCACTTTCATATCATTATCATGTGTCTTCGTGGTGCTTGTCATTTGAGAGCTTATCAAAGCCTAATCCTTCGTTGTTGGTAATTGTATCTGCGCCTATATGCATATATAATGACATAAAATTAGTCCTTTAGGAAAGAAATTATAAATGAAAAAAGAAGAAAGTATTAACCAATTACAAAAGAGTTACCTGCAATAAATTAACCATGCTAGTTGGACCTTGCGGATAACTGCTTGTAGGATTTTGGATCCCTAAATAGTATTGCTAATATACATATAAACAGAAGTGCAAAAAATATGCCTATAAGTAAACAATATATTTAAGAAAATAAGTGCAAGATTGTAGAAGTATGCTTGTATAAGTGAACCTATATACCTGTGAAAAATCAAATGGCTCTCCAAAATGCATATGTCCAGGCATTAGATTGGGTTGACCAACCTAAATTTATAAAACCGTCCAAAATTAGATGGAAGTCAACACTAAATGAAAGTAAAATAAATGTTCAAAACCATGAGTTTCAATGAATCCACAGATCACAAGGTTACATACCGACTGCAATATAGGAGTATGAGGTAGAGCTGTTTGTATAGAACCGGCAACGGAGTCCACCGTTGAATATTTTAGTTCCTTATTTCGAGGCTTTTTCTTTTTTGTGGCCTTTTCTAGAGCATTTCTTGGCCTCTTAGAATTTCCAGCAACTTTTTCCTTAGTTTTGATTCCTCTAACTTGAATGACATTATCATCAATGCATATAGTCTCACTGAGCTCAGATGCACTCACTTGAGTTGGTTGTTGAGTTGCTTTCTCCTTCAAACATGCATCAACCTCTCCCAACGTCTTGTTCAGTCTTGATATAGCAATTTCATATGCTTCCGGCGACTCTGCTGCTCGTGTTGCTAATTGAATATGCAATCGACATAGCTCTTTATAACGCCTTACAATGTTGGTCTTTGGGTCATCTTTACTTGAGATGTTGATAGTAACTCTTGCACTGCTAGACTTGATATTTTTTGTCCATCTCTCCAAGACGTACTGAGTTGGAATGCTTATAATATTTCTTGCTGAAAGAACCTATAGAGCATGTGCACACAAGATTCCTGCAAAATCATACTTCTTACAACTACATGAAACAGTATTGTTTGTCGAGTCAAATGTGACTGTATGGTGCCAATTCTTCCTATAAGGGATGATTTCATATTTGCTGACGCTTCCAATCTCACCATTGAAGATCAAGACACAATCATGAGCTTTGCCTAACTCGTTTTGAAACCATTTAAGCACTGCTGGTGTATAAATACATGTTGCATGCTTTAATATTTCTACTGGAAATGACAATGCAGGGGAACTTTGACTTGCTTTAAATTCAGCTCTCAACTCTTGATACCGACGATCGTCAACCAACCTTTCAAAATGTTTAACAAATCGTAGCAAATTATATTTGTAGTTGACATACTTTTTGATAGCACTGTTCATACTTTCATTGCGCTGAGTAGTAGTAATATCAGCACAAAACGTTTGCCGCCCATAAACTAATGCCCATTTCTCTTTTATGGCAAACAATCGATTCAACCAATCATTGTCTGTAAGATTATATTTCTACAGCATGTTATTCCAAGCATATAGAAAATCATCTTCATCCTCATGGTCGTATATGCAACTACTAAACTCCTTGGTAAAATCATTAAAATTCTCAAAGACATTTTTAAGTTGCTTGGCTGCATTTTGGTATATGTGCCAGATGCATAAACGATGACATGTTTGTGGCCACTTCTCAAACAATGCTTTGGCCATTGCTGCATCTTGATCAGTTAGAATAGTTTTTGGTTTTTTTCCAGACATAGCCTTGACAAAAGTATCAAATAACCAACTGAATGTTGCAGTGGTCTCTGCATACAATAATGCAGCACCAAATACAACAGTTTGTTTATGATTGTTGACACCAACAAACATCGCAAAAGGCCTTCCTTCTTTATTTTTTCTATATGTGGTATCAAAACATACAACATTACCAAAATAATCATAATCCACCATCATCCTTGAATCAGCCCAGAAGATATTAGTAATCAAATCATCTTCATCCACTTGTATAGCATAAAAGAAATTAGGGTCATTCAACTGCATTTTTTGTAAATATTCCAACACTCCGCCTGTATCACCTAACTTAATCTCTCTTGTTCGCTTGGAATGCAAATAATTCTTATAGTCATCATAAATGAATCCAAGATTTTGACGACCACCAACTTGTCTACTCATAAATTCAACACTTTCTCTTGGAGCAATTCCTGAACTATCAGCCATATCAGCTTCAACTTTTTGTGCAAAAGACATGTTCCTATGCGACCTAAAAAAATGAGTCTTACTAGGACTTGATGTTGGATGTGTATGCTCAGGAATAAATTTAATAACCTTATAGTTCTTTGCCGATCGACCACAACTGATTTGCATCCTTGCTCGACATCCAAATCTTGTTTCAGCGCGATGAGATTCAACATTGGGATCACACTTTTTTTTTTTTTGACGATGCCCTTCCGAAGAGCAAACAAAAAGTCTGTCCATCAACTTGTCATCCTCATTTTTATGAGCTTTACTTTTTCGAACACTAAAGCCAACGGTATAAGCATATGCATTGTAAAATTCAAAGGCATCTTCTTCTGTCTCAAACTCCATGCCTAATACTAGAACTAGTTGTTTCCGGACATCAGTTTTTTCCAAATCTACCGTTTCATTGCTTTCACAGTCTATAACAGAATTCAAGTCAATACCTGTTTCATAATTCAGAAGTGACTTTGCATATGCTTTTGTTCCATTAGCTTCATTGAGATTATCTTCTTTGTCCATGTCCTTAAGGAAAAATGAAAAATACAACATATAAGAGTCAAATTTATATGTGAATATTTCAGCAAGAATACACACACACACACATATATATATGCACACACACAAATATATATGTATATATATATACGTATATATATATATGTATATATACACGTATATATATATATATGTGTATGTATATAAAGACACACACATACTTAATTCATAGCATGGAGGACGCATAAGCTTGTTTATTAAAATCACTTTCCAACAGCACTGGCAGATTAACTTACACCTGGACCGACTCCTGTCTGGTGATTCCTCCGCCTACCAGAAAGCTTGAACATAGATGTTTGTGCACTGAACAGTCACGTAAAAGAAGGTGAAGAATCCTGTTTGGGTTTGCTCACCTCGTTAACCCAACAATTTTTTATTATTTTGGATTTTTTTAAATTTAAATATTAAATAAATAAAGTTAACAGTGTTAAGTTTTAAGTTAAGTTAAATGACATGTGTCAACATATCAGCAAAGAGATACAAATGTGACACACATTTGGGGACAGCACATCTGGAGCCATGAAATGCATGCCTTACGAGTTATTAACTGATTTTATGTTAAGCAGATTTATGAAATATGTTATTTGTCGTCTCGTTTTTTGTGAGGAATTAATTGTTGACCTATATTGAGCTATATTTTAAAATATCGTATTTTCTATAAAAACCATGAACTGGTAGACTTTCTGATAGATGACGATAGGATGCTAGAATATGTTTTAGAAACCCCTCTTTATAGTATAGACGATAGATGACTTTATACTATGAAGTGGTTATTTATGAGAGGCGTAACTATTTGTGCATACCTAGTGGACACTATGCCGCCTGGGGCGAGGATCTGGTATTGGCAGTTAGACCGGGAGAAATAATCCCTAGCTACGGACTGAGGGACACGGAGCAGGCAATGACATAAGAAGTCTTTTCCCTTTCTATAATAATAACCATATTTTAGGATGTGAATATTCCTTACTTTTGTTGCACTCTTATACTTATGCTCTTACACTAATGTTTTGTAGTAAAGGTTCCGACCCGCTTAAATGCTCACTTTTGTTTCAATTAACTCAATTTTTTATTTATTAGCACTTTTCCACATCGCCTACACTTTATGGCTTTATCATCTTTCATGTGTCGACCAGCACATCTCAACTTGGGAATACACGTAGACATTCCGAGTCGAGGTGTGTCAGGTGACATGGAGCATGTGTGGCATGTGGGCTTCACACATGGGCCAACTTGCTCCATATCATGAAAAAAGATTCGGTTTATCATAAATCAATTGGCACTATAGAGAAAAGCCCAAGCTCTTGCCAAGTTTCTTCTTTTATTGTTGTAGGACTCTTTTAACTTCATATTCTCATAGATAAAACCTCAACTATATGAGTAAATGTCCTTAATCATATGAGCTACAAGCCTCTCGCAAAATCTGATAATCTGTTTATTAGTAAACATAAGGGTAGAGAAAATGTTAATCTGAGCATAATAGAGGTTGGTCATATCTGGCCAACTTTATTCCCCTGATAGGAGAATCCCCGCCCTAAACCTTAATGCTTGTATAAAAAATGCAAAAAGATAGATTTCACCATTAGAACTTGATAATCTAATACAAAAGAATTGATATTAATGAATTCAACTTTATAGAAACAGATACAAAATCCAAATGGTGCATGCGTTTTTACAGTTAGAGATGAATAAATTAACGAATCTATGTTCATCTCTGATTTGAAAATCTCAGATTCTCATATATGTATCACTGGGTTTTCTTTTCTGTAGCTACTTGTACATTTGATTCATCACCAACATCTTTGATAACATCTCCTGCTTTATCCAAGGCTGACTCAAAAAAGTCTTCCACCCGGTCTTCCAGTGCTTCCGCCTACGCGCAATTTTCATACAAACACTAATTAATTGCATATATATGTTTGTTGTTGATTAACTTAGAGATTTAAATTACTTGTAGAACACTAACTAATTATGTAAAACAAACCATATACCTTCTCAATCAGCTCATCAGCAAGGTGAGCGTCTTTGGCTGCTTCTTTGGCTATATTTTCAACTAATTCAAGTGCAGTCTTAAGCTTTCCCTCAGGAAGACTATCACCTATATCATCTGCCACTTCCTCCACTTTCTCTGCTACCTGTTCTACCACCTCCACCACTGCTTCAACTGTGTCTACAATCATGTCCACCTCCTCTGAAAAATCAAAACAAATTCAAGCAATGATCATGAGAAATATGGTAATTAATCAATAGATTCTTAAATACAACAAACTCTCTTCCATGAAATTTGAACTCAGAACTTTCTGCAATAAGATAGTTATGAATACTTACTTTTCAATGCTAGCAAGGGCCCCCATTTGCTCCTCGAGAAGGGTAATATTACTGATAGTACAATCCCTATCAACCATCCTTTCCTGTTTAAAATGGTCGATCAGATTTCAGTTTTATCGTACATTACTTGCAAAGAGATTAAAAAAAAGAGAGAAGACGACTAGATTCATTAGTATAGAATCTAGAGAAAGAGAAAGAAAAACAAAGGTTTCATTGCCAATTACCAAGAGTGGGAAGGACCTGGAACTCCAGGTAATGGAAAACTATTGCATACAATCTTGTTCTTCCTACATGGTTGATTGCTGAGACTACTCCTTTGACCAATTGTGAGAGGCAACAATGCATGGTTGGTTCTGAAACCTTGCTGGCATTTCAACGTCGATGATGAAACATGCCGGAACAATCCAGGAGGCCACTTGCAAAGATCAGTTGATGTGAATGTCGACATTAGTTCTTCCTTTGATCAACTCCTACAATTAATAGTAATTTTTTTTGAAGTATTTCTGGTGATGAGAGGTTTGTTCCTTGGGTGCTAGTATATATAGGCTATTTAGGTTCAATGAAAAAACTAGTCAAGGAAAGTAGATAGAAATAATCCAAGAGGGGCTCCATGATTACTGTAATCGTCCAAAATTTGTTAATGGATTTGGTATATGGATACATACATGCACGCCAACACATTGGACCTTAGGAAAGTACGAAACAGATGACTTGTTCTTTCCTTAGCATCCCATGGTCAACTACGAGTTTTCTTGACTGTAATTATTATTAATTGCTATACGCAACGTGTTTAAATATAATAATACTCCCTGTGAAATTAATATTTTTCGTCATAAGTTCGGGTGATGTTGAAGACTTTTTTGGAAAATATATATTATTCACATAGTGTGTGGCTTGCTCCTTCACATGGCTTACCCCAGTACCAAGGCCAGCTAGACGCTGATAGGGATGATAGATAATAGCTTTCCATTTGATATTACGCAAGGACAAAACTCTTGTAGGTACACCATTTGTCTCCAACTTGTAAAATAAGAATGAGGATCTTCTTCGAACTCTTTTTGTGAGGATCTTGAGAATTTTTAAATCGTGTTCATTCATCGTACATCATGCAGTCAGAAATTATTTTAAATATTTTTATTTAAAATTAAATATAAATAGTACCTGACAAAAACTGACTGCACGATATACGATAAATAGATACGATTTGAGAATCGGAAGAGGATCCTCTTTCGTAAAATAAGAAAACACGTTTAACATAGAATTGTTAGAATATAATTAACTGTTGGCTTAAGCATTTTAAAAAGGGTTCGTCTACGGTACTTTAATAAAAAAAAAAAGGTATTAGTATTATTTAATTTGAACATTATCCTAAACAGATAATGATAGGGAGGCTAGATTTATAAATAAAATTTTGTAAACTAAATGGCATGGAAGTTGATGATTGAGTTATTACTTAAGCGTGGATAAGTGTGCTCATTCCTATTGGTGACAAATCATATAATTTGCAAATTTTGTTTACAAAATTAGTCTCCCTAGCATTACCGTAAACTATAATGCAATAATGTTCAATTATAGTATATTATCTTATCAGTGTAATCTAAGATCTATGTGTAATAATACCAACGTTATTTGGTGTAAACAAATACAACATTGGTATAATAATACCAAAGAATTATGTAACTTTGGATGTAAATTTGAACGTACAATGTACGTCTTAGACTTTGTATGTTAATGTTATGTTGTAACACGATCATGATGTTTTGTAAGTACAAAAACCTACCTTGACAGCATAATAAAATGTCCACAATGTAACTACCAACCTTATTATAATAATGATCGCTTCATTCTTTGTCATTAACTTGAACCTTGTCATCATTATGTAATCTTGGATGTAGTTTTGAACAATGATAGTTTATCTTAAACGGTATCGATACCTTTTTTGTTTAATTAGTTTTTTATTTTATTTTTTATATTATTGTATTTTAATCTTTTATTTTTAATAGGTACAATTATCAAAATGTTTATGCCACGTTAGCAATTTAACGGTTTATGTAACCGAGTTAATGAAATAGAATAAAATGAAACACTAAGAATGAGTGAGCACATATGGTAAAGTGGGACAAAATAAAGTACAGGGGTAAAGTGAGATTTTGTGTATATAGTACAAGTGCTGTAGCTCAAAACAATCCTAATGTAAATATAAAAATAAAAATTTCATAATCGGAACCCTTCAATTTCTTAATCTTCATATTATGATGAAAAAAAGTAGTTCGTTTAGATATCCAAACGTATCAAATAAAGGGACAGTTCATCATTATTATGTTACTTGGTGTATATTTGAACGACTAAACGATCTTATATTCAAATAATTTTTTGCAAATATGATCTACAAATGAAGATTAAGAAATTGAACAGTTTCAATTTTGAAATTTGTAAGGTGATGATACGTTATTTGCAAGTGAATGACTGAGCCCATTCTCTCTTTTATTTGCCAGTTGAAGAATGAGCTTATCCCAAGAGAATGCAAGTACATTTAATTAGTGTGTTGTGAAGCAGGATGGGTGCTCATTCTCACATGGATAGTGGTCAAGAAGACCACTGGAAAAGGAAAAGAACATTATTAGCCAAAAACCAAACCGAGGTAAAGAACCGCAGCCTTCCAATCCAGCCATCCTGCAAATACTGGAAAAGGAAACGTATCTAAATTCCGAAGAAACAGGACCTTGTCGTCCCATAACCAAATGCATAGTCGTGTTTGACACAAGTACCATAGTTATCTACATGCATATGCAAAGTTTAATGACAAGCTGCATTATTTATCGGGGGAGGTTTTTTCGACAGTGTAGCAGACAACCCTTCATATATTCTGCAACATTCAGATTAGTTGTTAAGAGAATTTTCCGGTAACGTTTTTCATGTCTCTTTCTCTCTCATTCTTACGCTTAAGGTATCTCAGTAATCTCTCTGATGCTTGAAAATGAGGTATTCTGGGAGCTTGCATCAATTGGAAGAGTTGGCCAACCACAAAAGCAAAATATGTAGTCGGGACCAAGTATCGTATCGTAAAGCTCCTACTAGAGATCTATATACAAGGCACCAACCATGTCCAAACTTGGGATGCAAGTCAGAAATATATTTAATTTGAGAGAGCAGTGAACTAGTAGGTGTCATTTACCTAGTTGAGGTATGATATGATAAATTACTACGGTTGACCCAATTGAGATATGATAAAAAGACAAGTTGTTGGTGAGTTTCCTCCTGACTATAATGTCATCATACACTAACACAATAACGAGAGACTGAGCAACTCTTACAAAAAGACAAGTGTCGGAATTAGAAATTTAAAAAATTGAAAGCCTAATCCAATTAGAGCAAGCCATTGGGGCTTGTTTAAGGCTATGAAGATATTTAAAAAAAAAGGCTATGAAGTATTTGTTAGGTTTACAGACATAGATAGACTTATTCGGATCAGGAATAATACTTGCATTTTTCAGTAGGGAAACGCACATATTTCACCCCTTACGAATAATGTATATTCATTGTATTAATTTTATAAACGGAATCGTTCAATTTCTTAATCTTCATTTGAAGATTATCCTTGCAAAAAAATCATTCGAACCCAACAAATTAAGAGAGGACAAACACTTGGACATATAGCATAACAAAATTCAATTACAATTTTACCCATTTAGAAATTGCTTGGAATGACATTTTGGGTAGCGACACTCAACCATGTCATCTATAATGTGCCTATCAAAAATATAACATCATTGTAGTTTTATCCCACTTGACCTACGCTAGTCCCACACTACGTGATAGTTGTCTCAATAGTGCAGTGCTACAAAAATTTATCTTCATCATATAGTTATTAGATGCAAAAATAGAAGGAAATAAAATATCTAGATTACCCATGACATTGATATGTGTGTTTGTTGACCCTAGAAATTACAAAGCCTACGTGGCGCGCAGGCCGAATATATTCTAAGCTAACTACGTCCTTCGGTGATTGCGGGGCGTGCGAACTCGTCGGCCGAGGCTCGGCCGAAGAGTAAATTTGATGATGCTGCGTTGGGTCGCGCTACTGACTTCTGCGTCTTGCGATTGCGGCCGAGAAAGGAACGCGTCTCGGCCTCTTGGGTTCTCGAGCCTGAAGACAAGGCTGCTATTTCTTACAAAGTTCACGAACCGAATTCGGCTTACAATGTGCCGAATGTAATAACTGTAACACCTCACCTCGCCGAGAAGGCTAATGAGATGACCTCGACCAACAAGGATTCGAAAACCCTTCTCGACCGAGACTTGGATAGGCAATCGATCGTTCTCGCCGCAGTGCTGTTGATGCCAACGGAAGATACTGCGAGACCGACCGACTCTACGGTGACAGAGCTATCTATGCCGACTTAAGATATCACCGGTTGCTTCCACAGTGCTGTTGATGCCAACGGAAGATGTGTCAGCGAAAAAGGAAAAGAAAAAGATCTCAAGTTGTGAGAGTTTGCGCAGGGCAATTTTTGTGTTGATTTGCAGGGGCTTTATTATGTTGCATGACCTCTTGTATTTATAGGACTTGGATATCTGCTTGGCACAACCTGATAATATTGTAGAGTCCAGCTGTAACTCAAACTTGCAGAGCAAAAATTGATCCGTATCAGAGGCTTATCCTTTAGATTGTTGTTTGTGACTTTTCAAATAGGATAAAAACCCATCTCGTCTTATCACATCACACTAGAAGTCTAGCCCACCTAGGCTTCTTGTCTTGATAACTTCAACATAGCCTTTATCCCATGCATGCATAATAAAATATAATCCCATCATATTTAAAAGCCTAGCCTAGCTAGGCTTTCTTTTCTTGTCATATGCATGTTACGGCATATACATATATATAAATCATATATATATATATATATATAATTATATAATAGGCATCCAAACCGAATTGCTCTAACACACACGGTACACTGCTAACAAATCCAAATTACATTGGACTGTTCCACCTGTCTCTCCGTTGGGATATAATTTTGTCTTGTTTATCTGGTTTAAGAAGATGCAGATAATTCGGACTAAAAGATAATTATAATATTATCCTTTAATAATCAAATTATCTCCACTTTCTCATCCGGTGGTTGAGAATCATGCCCACTCAACGGCCTGAATCGCTTGGGCCGATGATGTAAAATTGGGTCCAAACAGTGTTATAGGTTTGTTATTTCTAATTTTGCTTCTTAATTTATTCGATACAATGATTAGATAGAAAAATAATCGTGGATAGAGAAATTAAAAACGAAATAGTTATCAAACAATCCTTAAATTTGACATTTAAATTCATGTATAAACATGAAGAGCAGACCATTCGGCTACCTGTTTTGGTCTATGGCAAATCTTGGGTCGTCTTGGTACTGCAAAAGTCTAATGCCCAATAAACAAAATTTCAGCCCACACAACAGGAGAAAGTGAATGATCTAAAAGAGGATATAAAAAAGGGCAGAATTTGGGCTTTTATGGCCTAGGGTCCAAAATGGTTGGGTTAG